ATGCAACGTAAGAAGAAATACTTTTTCTCATCTCAATCTCATTCTCAATCATACAATTTCTATCATCTCTTCATCTCCTGTGGTAAGAAAAAGGCCTAGAAATGCACTCAGAATCAATTTTCTGTCATTTGTGCCCCCGTTTTCTCTAGCACCTTTATCCAGTAACAGCAATAAATGTGTCTGGGAACTCCTGAATGATTCACCTCAAGTTCTTCACAGAATCATCCATGTGTACAAATATCATATTCTCATTCCTGAATTTTCTTCATAAGTGGTTTATCATAAAGGTTTATCCAAACATCTAAGTCAGGATTTTTAAATTAAAACTAAGACATATGAGGAAGTTATATATTCAAGATACAAGATACAAGGGGTCCTACTGTATCCTGGGTATAAATAATATTCTTCAGTGGTATAAAAGCTTTAGTCATCAGTTAGTTATAAGTAACAATGTCACAACATAGCTGTGTGCAGAAGCATATAATTCAATACAATTAACCACAAGGTCATAGATGAAGGAGAAATTAATGAAAGCTATCTTAGATGTTTTTTGTGCCAAGGGCTATAGCTGGCAGTGCCATTCGCAAGAGCTCACTGGGCTAGCTGACTAGCAACAAGGTCAATGGGCATTCCTGTGCGTGACTTTGTAAGTACAAGTGGGGAGTAGGTATGAGTCTGCTTCCTGGAATTAAATACAGTAGGTGCACCTCAGTTCTATTTATTCAGTTCATTTAGCCACAATTTCAGGAAAAGGCAAGTGATACAAAGATAATGAAGTCTTGTGAGCCATGTGTGTACTTCCCATGAAAGTCAGTGGTACCCCAAATTCCTGTGGGTCCTGGACTTATTCCAGTGTTGGCAGAATTTGAAGGGCTCCATCATCCAGCAATATTCCTCTCCCAGTGCAGAAAAAAGATGAATTAAAAGGTGGTATAAAGAAAGAGAAGATGAGGAAGGAAACAGATTTGTGAGAAAACAGTTCTGAAAGTCTACCATAACCTAAGATTGTTCCTCTATTGCTATGGTATGTTTTGGTCAGTGTGCTGGAAAACATTTACAGAGGTTAGCTACTCCTGGTATTTTAAGGAGACCTCAGCATTCCTGGTGACAATAATTTTATATTAAGTCAACCATAAATAGTGCTGTCTAGAAGCCTATTGTTAATGGCAGGGCAATGAAATTGTTGGTGCATATTTACTAAATATCCATAGTGTCTACAAAATTGTGCTCGGGGGCTATTGCATACAGATGTGTCTATGTGGATGCAACTATCTAGGGCTGTGAAGTGCAGACCCTATGAAGCTATATATAACTGTTTCAACTGTCTAAAAATTGGAGAAAATATAAGGAAATGCTATATCTAGGCAGTAATATGATTACCTCAAAAAGGCAAGCATAGGCATTTCATATTTCTACAAGAAAATGTGTTCTTCTTCGACTGAGAAACTTAATAGCCAAGGAGTAAAAACAGTAGCTTTGAGTTGAGAATTTCAAACAGATTTGCCTCAGTTCACACATTCCATACACTGATGACCCCAAATAGCTATCCTTCCAAGTACTAATGAAATGAGGATGTCTTGCACTCAAATGGCATTAATCACAACTGTGCACAGTACCAGGAGCTGTCTGCATGGTTTCTGGAAGATAATTGTAAACAGACTCACAGACCTGCATTGTAAGAGGCAATGTTAGTCTCAACTGAAAAACAGGACAATGCTCAGAGGTAGAGAGTGAAGGCCAAGTCAAAGACGGGAGTAGGGTACAGCTCGGTAACAGACTGGCAGCACCAGTCATTCTGGAAAAGACGTGGTCAGAAGAGGGCAGAGTGGAGAAAAGAACAGTCTATGCTCATGGACCCAGCACAGTACTCAGGCAAATTGTAAAAATTTCCCATGATAAATGAAGCAATTTTATCTCTCAAGGCAAAAATAATATTCAAATACCAGTGTCTTAAGCCATTACCATCCTAAATAGGCCTTACTGAATTAAAACAAGAACATAAATGTCAAAAAACTTTCTTAGCTTTTCTTTTAAGACAAAGTTGGGGGGAAAGTAAATCATAAACCAGTATGTATGTCATTCTGATTGCCCCGTCTCATTTATCCTCACATTTCTGTTTAACTTTAGATGACCCTTCTATTCATGTCAGAAATAGCTTAATTCAGCTTAGAGTACAAGCTTAGTATATGTAGCTGCACCTTTTAAAGGAGATTGTGACATAAAACAACAATGTCAATGGCATTAGCAAGCATACAGTGTCACCCCTTCCATGTGGAAGGTCATACTTCCTGACATGCAAATTCAGCTATTTTCTTCTATAGCCCATTAAACAAATGTACACGTTAGCAGTGAATTCAAAGCATCTACAGCATCTCTGCAGAGGCCTGCAGAGAATTCTGGTGTTTGTGCTCATTAAAAGATCTGAATGTAAAGAATATTATTTCTTTTTCTAACAGTTCAGTTTTATCTCTTATCCCATCAGATAAATTGATGTTTTTAAAAGTAAAATGGAAACACTTAGAAATTGAATGAGCCTATTACATCTAAAGAATTCCTGAGCTTTACAGCTTAAAAAGAAGCAGGAGAGTCTGAAAAGTCTTACTTGCCTCAAAAATTCAGTTTTTCTCCTGTCATTTATGCTCAAAATTGAATTCCCTTCCACTTACAGTCTGGCATTGAAGTTCACGTGCTGTTAGCAGTAAAGCAGAGTTAAAGATTGTAATTTATCCCTTTTGTACAGTGAATTTGAAAAGTTAGAAAGATGTAGGCCTTTAGATAAGATGACCCTAACACTGTGTTGTTCAACTTTTATGCTTTATTTTTAAATCAGTTTATTGGTACAGTTCAGGTATAAATAATGACAACACTCATCATAAGAAATTTGTACCTGTACATGCTATATCTCGAGTATTCTTTGTTTTCCACATTCCCCTCCTCTCCCTACAACTCCTCTTTCCTTCCTTATTTACAAAGAAGGATAAAATGGAAACAAAGATTTGTAAGTAAGGAGGGGAAGAGGGGTTGAAGGGAGGAGAGGAGAATGAGGGGGAAAAAAGAGGAATCAAGACATATCATGCACAAGTACAAATTCCCTACTGTGAATGTGATCATTATCTATATCTAAATTGTACCAATAAACTGTGACATTACAGGTATAATGCATATCTGTTTATGTAATATATGTATACCTGTGCTTTACGTAACAAAAATTTCACCCCCCCCCCATGAACTAATTTTCCCCTTTAGGGAGCAATATCATGCTTGTTGTAGAAACTGAAGCCCACATTTAATTGTCTGTTCACAGCCAGAAATTGCTAAATCAATAGTGATTTAGCATCACTTCACTCAAAACTATTACATTTGAATCATTTTCAAGATAAAAAGCTTTAAAAATAATCTATGAAATACATAAAGCTGGGTAAAATGTTGTTCTAGCACTTAATAACACCCTAATTCACATTACTCTCAATTTGTTGAGCTCTACTTGATGCCTGCTCACAGAACCAAAGATTTGATTACTGAATTTGATTACTGTTGAATTTTGTGCACATTTCAAAAAGCGAACAACCAAAACAACCTCTGAGAAAAACATTTTTCTAGATGGTGGCAATCGGTAATTTGCAAAACCAGATAGAAAACATCTGTAGAAAGCACTATAATTTTCAATTTACAGACAAAATAGAACAGCTTTTGCTGCTTGAAAACAACCTGAAAATAAATGGCCCACAAAATTATGCATGTCATAAAAACAAATCAGTGCTTCATTAGAAAACCACTGTGCCATCCACATGTACAATTGGAAGAAGTTTCTTCATCTAAAAAGATTCAAGAATCCTCATGTTCTATTATGCCTCCAAAAAAAAAAAAAAAAACCCAAACAAACCCCAGCATTTTAAAACATTCATAACAAGAATCTCATTAAGCATAAGAAACAGAACAGTCAGTAACAAATGCAAGACATATCCTGCCCACTATTTAGAGTGTTACACATTTTTATATTGCTTTGCCAATAGTGAGGGCAAAGAACGTCTTCTATATAAGCCATTAAAAAGAATCTTCATCACATTAGAAATTGAGCTCACCTACCTTTACTGGTCCATGTTCATTACTGGAGCCCTGCATCAGATGCACGTAAGACATCATGAAAATATTCATTACTGCCCACTCTTTGTACATTTTGAGTATTTTATATCTGCTGATTACTGAGCAGTTGACATCAGGCAGCTAAAGAGAATTGTCTCAAAAGGCATTCTCCACGGAGAAAGTTTGAACCCCAAAACTTCACATGGAAAAAAATCAGTTGTGATCAAAATCCAATAAAATGACTTAGATTAGGCAAGGTACTTTTTTGCACAATCTTAGTGGTGGGGGGGAGAGATGAGAAAATTTTAAAACACTCTCATGCTCCAAAAATAATCAGGAGGTGGACATGTCTTCCATCTGAATTTAGAAAGCACTCTACATTCATTTCATGGCCAGAAAATTAAAAGAAATCTCTCCACACTATGCCCCAGGTTCTAGTTGCTTTGTAAGGAACTGGTGCAGCCACCAATTCTTGCAGCTACAGAAAGCTGGAACCCAGCTCTGGATTAAAACTTTTTTAACAACCTTCATGGAAGTTTGCAGAAGCATGTGTCTTAAATCTGACACAGATTTTGGCAGACAATGCAGGGAAATCTTGGCTGTAATCCTGTTGTGTCCCTACCAATAGCAGGGCAGTTTTAAAAACTGACTCAAATGCTCAGGACTGCTATTCCTTTAAAGCAGATAACCTGAAACATGAAACCGCAGCACATGGTCTTTAATGGTTATATCCCAATAGCGTTGCTTAGCAAATGATCTTCCGATACTGATATATCTGCTGCTGGTGACACAGAAAAATAATCAGATTATGTTTCAAAAATAGCAAAACCATCAATACACATATGCAAAAAAGGCAAAAACAAGATGAATCTTTAAATAGAAACTTAATAAGTTAGGTTAAAATGAAGAATATAGAATTTTAAAGAAGCAATGATTAGTTTTATTTGAATGTGCAGGAAAATATCCTACATACATTGCCACAAAAATCTTGCTATCAGTTTAACGTGGTATCCTTTAGAAACACCCGCTAAGTCAGCTTTAGACTGAGTGCCTAAATGGCTGGGCACCATGTATGGCAAAAGAATTGCGACCTCCATTGGACTCTTCTTCACTAGTTTCCAATCTTTGATTTCCAGGTTTTGGCTCTTTCAAACCCATTTTTTGCATTTCTGAAATCAAGAATGGCTTCAGAAATTTCTTCATTAGTGTTCATCACAAAGAGACCTAGAGCAGAAAGAGACATTCAGAAAGTTCTGGGTGATGGTATTTTACCAATAGAAATCATACATATTTCTCTAGCTCCTAATTTAAAATAAAATCTAGGCGTATCTAAACAGTAAAAGTGTTCAGATTCTAGAGTTCAGTGTTCAATACCAGAGGACAACAACACAAGTTTCTTGGTTATGACTGTACATGATTATAAATTTTTATAAAGATCAAAATTTAAATAAATGCAGTTGCATCTCACCCATCTATTGCAGGTCCCTTATCAGCAATGCAATCTCTTTATTTAAAATATTCTTAGACTTGGTTCTATTACATCCACACTTTGTAGCTGATATTTTTATAACCTTAGCTGATGTCAAGAAGTGAATCAATCTGAATATGACAAATTGATAAATTTTGTCACATATTTGGTATCTAAGCAATATATTAGGCTGTGTGCTTATATGATGGTTCTAAGCCATTTTTGAAAATTAACATCTGAATGACAATAAAAAGGAGACAAAAAATGTAAAGTCAAGAAAACATCATTGTTTGGATTCTCTACAGATGGGAAAAAATTCTGTAAAGGGCCAGAGACTGTATATTTTAGATTTTGTGGGTCAAATTGTATCTGCCTCAACAATCCAACTCTTTGATTGAAGCGCAAAAGCTACCATAGATAATATGGCAGTCAGTAGCCATGACTGTTCCAGTAAAACTTCATTCACAGAAACATGCAGTAGGCCTCAGATTGAAGTGACTTGAATAAAATTTCTCATTTTCTCTGTTCACCAAATACTCCTTGAATGCCAGGTCCTGTGCAAGACTTGAAAGATATAGTGGTTAAGACTGCTGACTGGGAGAAAGGCTGGAAGCTGAAAACTGAAAGCCAGTGGGCCCACGGGAAGTGGAAATAATTACTAGACCACCCAAAATGCACACCCAGAATGGGGTCTGGCCAGGGGTCAGGGTGGAGCTGAGGCTCTCCATGGGAGTTTCTCCTTACTACCCGCTCCCTGCCAAAACAAAGTGCAGTGGACTTACTTGGCTGATCCCTTTGTCTAGTTCCTGAATCTGAACTTGAGTATTCCTAAAAGTATATAAGGAGTTCTCCTTTACTTTGCCAAAAGAGGCAAAGTATTTGTCTCATCCCCATTTTCGCAAACAGGAGGGACAATGTGACACAGGACTATCTGTAGTCCAATTCTCATTTGGCATTGGCAGATTCTTGGAAGCAGCTGACAAGCTTGTCTATTCAGTATACTTCTTGTACTAGCCGGCAGAGGTTCCCAGCATACATTTTATGGAATTCCCTCCACTAAGAGGCTTTCTATGGGAGGCCCTAATTTACATATAACTATATTACTTAGAATTGAGGGTAGTTTCACAGCATTGGAATAAAGGACTAAAGGAGAAAAACAATGAGAATCTGAGATGTAGAAGTCAGATACCATTGGGCTTTCGATGTCATTCATGAGAAGAAGTTTGGACATAATTATTTAGGTGATTAGGAATCAATGAAGGGTAAAGTGAGAAGTAACAGGATCTGATTTGAGGTATTAAAGGAGGCTGTGGCATGAAGACATAGAAGGTTCCGGCCTAGGAACCTGAGTCAATGGCCGAGTTGCTAAGGGAAACTGACATATAGGATATAGGCTGGGTGCAGAATAAAGGGTTCTGCTATAGATATTCTGATATGGAGGTGTGAAAGGCAATCCAATGCGTTTTCAGTAGAGGCCTTCGATACGTTGTTGAGACTGGATCATGGGAAAAATTCCATGTGAAAATCAAGCTTTGGTGTTTATCAGGTAAGAAACAATGTGAGACTTCTTCCATACAAAATAATACACTCAGGAGAACATCCTGGAGAAGCTAAATTTTTAAAGGACATATGAAGCAAAGAAAATGGGATTGGGAAAATGATATCAGATACAGGGATGAGGACTGAGTTCCTGCAGGTGGTCATTTTCCTCTGGTTTGCGCTTGTACGGCACCACTCTTACTTACATCCCCATTCTTTTTCTACAGTGCACTTCTGGAAGTCCCTCTTGACAGTTCTTTAGGGTAATGTGCCATATTTCTCAAGTTTTAATGTATGGAAACACTGAAAGCCATATTAAGGAAGTTCAATCTCCTCATATGCTGAGGAAGAGGAAAACTGAATCCAGAAAGCATATGGTTTTAAATTTATCACCCACAAGGCTTACACACTAGAACATTTTTCATACGCCCTTAAGCCCTCATTCAAATTAGTTTGCAGCTCCAATTAAACCTTTGGACTCTGCTTGTAATAAAAAGGTGTGGATTCTTATGTAGATTCTTGGCATAGAGTAGAAAGTATAAGACATGGGATCAGGAGTCCAGGATTCACATCCTAGATTCACCACTAGCAATCATTTCCGATCAGAAAAGTCACAGTGAAAGGCAGAGTGACCAGCATGGTGAGAGACACAAAGGCAAAGTGGTTGAAAATCAGACAGCCTGAGTGTAAATCCACTCTGTAGCCTCAAGAAGGGCAATTTCTGTACTTCTGCTGCCTCACATGTTGCATAAGGATGAGAGCGCCTCTCTTTTAAGGTTATTTTGACAGTTAAGTGGTTACGTGCATTAACATTTGTAAAACACTCTGACAACTAAAAATACAGCAGACTATATGGACAGCATTTGCACTGAAGTCAAAATGGATCAAAAATCTAAATTCTAAAACAGAAATTCTAAACCTACTGGAACACAAAGTAGGTAGAAATCTCAAGGACACACGGGTAGGCAAAGAGTTCGTGGACAAAAACCAAACTGCACGAAAAGTACTTCAGAGAATCAACAACTGGGATCTCATCTTATTAAAAACTTTTTGCACATCGAAAGAAATCACCAACAGAGTAAAAAGAAAACTCACAGGTTAGAAAAAAATTTTTGCCAACTGTTCCTCAGACAAAGGACTTTTATCTAGAACATGTAAAGAATTTTTTAAAAAATCAGGCCTCCCAAATTTAATGACCTAATCAAAAGATGGGCATCTGAGATGAATATACAATTTGCAGATAAAGAGATACAAATGGCAAACAAATATATCAAAAAATGTTCAACATCATTGGTCATTTGAGAAATGCAGATTAAAACAACACTGAAATGTCATCTCACTCCTGAAAGAATGGTTAGCAACAAGAAATTAATAACAAATGCTGGTGGGGCTGTGGTGGGGAAAGGAATCCTTCTCCATTGTTGGTGGAAGTGTAGACTGGTGCACCACTGTGGAAATCAGTGTGAACATTCCTTGAAAAACTAGAAATAGAGGTTCCATTCAACCAAGTTATTCCACTTCTGGGTATTTTCCCAGAAGAACTGAAAACATCATACCACAGCGATATATGTGTATCCGTGTTTACAGCTGTACAATTTGTAATAGTCAGATCTTGGAAACAACCCAAATGCCCATCAACTGAGAAATGTATAAAAATATTTTTATACAATGGAATACAACTCAGCCATAAAAAAGACAAATTCAAGGCTTTTATAGTAAATGGATGCAACTAGAAACCATACTCATAAGTGAAATAAATTAGACTTGCACATGTAAACACTGTAATGTCTTGCTAGTGTAAGAAACTGAAAGAGTAAATATAATCCAAAAGTTACAATAGATATAGGAAAATGGAAAGGAACTGCTGAAAGGGAAATTGTATTGCTTGATCAACCTTGCATGTCTGTATCTGATATCCTGAGCAATTACTCCGAAATTAAAGTATACAATACAACAACCACTGTTAAATTCCTATCATTTTGTTTTGAAATCCTATATTGCTATTATTTTTGTTGTTTTTGTCATTTAGTTTTTTTATTGTTTGCTTCTTTATTTTTCTGCTTTTTTTCTCTTTAAATTTTTATATATATCTCTATGTGTATATATATATATATGTACACAAACACTTATATATATATATATATATATATATATATATATATATATATATTCATATATGACATCATTTGCTGTGATCTGAATGTGGCCTATTCCCTCCACAACGCATGCTAAAATTTGATTGCCACTGTGCTGGAAGGTGGAACCTTTAAGAGGTGATAAATTCATTAAGAAAGAGTAATTTTTTCACAAGTTATTGAGTTTTCACTCTTTTAGGCTGAATTAGTTACTATGGAAGTGAATCATGTACACAGCAAGTCCACTCTTAGTGTTTTCCTCTTCTATACACACCCACTTGCCCTTCTGTTTTCTGCCATGAGTTGAAGCAGCATGAAGGACTTTCTAGTGCCATGTTCTTGCACTTTCCAGCCTCCAAAACTGTGAGCCCAAACAAACCCTTTTCTTCATAAATTACTTAGTCTCATGTATTATCTTATGGCAACAGAAAATCATGACAGTATCGAGCCACTGTTATTACTGGTAAAGATAAAAATGACATTCAAGCACTTGTATCTGCTTTTGTCTAATTTGTGAGCTAAGACTTATGGACAGATGCAAAAAAGTAAATTCTGTTTTGTGACCTGAAACTCACTGATCAGTGTAGGTTTTGATACATAAGAAGAAATATTACTGCCAGGTACACTGGGATACTGAAATATTTGACAGACCTGAGGCAAGAGGAGACTCATGTAGTGAGTCTCATGTAGTGAGACTCTACCTCAGAAAACAAAACAAAAACAAAAATGATGATAACCTAAGACAAATTAAACTGACAGAGGTGTCGATAACCATTAAGTTTGGTACCAAGACTAAAGAGTTAATTAGAAAGCATAGCGTATCAGCCAAATTTCAGCTCAGTACATTTGGGATTGCAATTTTCATGTTGCAACACATGAAGGTAGCATTTTTCTTTTTTCTTAAAAGTTTCTGTCTTGAATATGGGGCTGGAGTTGAAGATACATCGTACTGTGTTTGGATCATGTTTGTTTAAATGTAGTAAGTAGTAACATCAGATTAAAATTTAATCAGGTTTAAAAACATGATAGTCAAATCTTCAATAGAATGCAAAGCCTTTTTTCAAGTTGTAATGTCTTATGATACAATCAAAAAATCACCTATTCTTTGCACAGATCATTGTCTGACACGATATGTACTTAAATACTTCTTTGGACAAACAAACAAATAAATACCCTGGGTATTTTCTTCTGATAATGGACAAATAAAACAAAATCCTTAGTTCTGTTGATAAAAAGATAAGACAACATCCAGCTGGTCTTCCCAGGAATACTCATGTACATTACTCTGGAGGAAAACAAAAGCCAACCAGGAAATCCCCATCATCACCATTCTGGGCTTACCATGTTGGACAACTGGTTCTCTTAATGGCTCCCCAGCAATTAAGACAAAATGGCTTCTCTCAGGATCCTGAAAGTAACAAAAAAAAATCAAAAAACAAATGTGCTTATTTTTGAATGTCAAATTAGGAACAATTTGTTCTTGGCATGCTATCTAAATGAATGCTATACTTAATTCTGAGTTCAAATTCTGAAAACATTTTCTGTGCAACATTCAATATGGAAATGGCTATTACTTAATATATTGAGTAGCAACAAGGACTCAAAAATAAGTCCAAGTTACAAAAAGATTAACATTTTCATATTAAAGAAGGACAACTTAAATCAAGATCTTTAACTAGAAACATCTTTATGACAAACTATATGATTGAATACGATTACTAAAATGTTTATAATAATTTCACACTAACAATATAATTTTTAAAAGGAAAGATTATCCAAATAAGATTTTATAACTTTTGACATTTATTATTAATGTACAATAGGCCCAGAAGTGTTACACTAAATGGAATCTTACAAAACTGTAGCATCCAGAGATTATCTGCTCAGGGAAATTTCTTTCCAAAATGATTCTATGAAGCCTCCAAAAGCTTTGTTTTGGATAAAGGATTTGATTTTCCCTGGCACTGTAAAAATATTAATTATAATATCCAGGGCCAGAGTGGATGCAGGGAAAGAGAGACTCTTATATAACTTTTAAGACACTTTAAGATTGGTGCAGTATTCCTTAAAGAGAGTGGTTTGAAAATATGGCTCAAAACCTTCAATATTGCTGATGTCCTCTGATTCATTTATGATAATTTTAGCAATATAGTGGAAGGGAAAACTCAGTTTTTGCAGTTTCTTCTTGTAGCACTACTGATTGTAGCAAAAACTGGCAATGGTTCTCCAATAACAAGGAGTTGTTTAAATGATTATCATATTTTTAAAATGAAAATCACTGGGACATTAAAATTCATTTTCTAACCATTAGTTAAGTGTATAAATATTCATAAAATATTAAGAATTTTTAAAATATCACAAAACAGTGTATATGTAGTATGGTTCTACACTTTTAGGAAAATCAAAAAACCATATACTGAGAAGTTAGGGAAGAAATATAATGAAATTTTAGTGTTGGTTCTTTCTGCACAATGGGAATTAAGGCAAATTTCACTTTATGCTTTCCTGTTTTTCTTTGAGTTTTGCTACAATAAACGTGCTGATTTTAAAACTTAAAAGAGTTAAAATCGTAGCTCAGTGTGGCTCAGAAATGTGTGCCATATGTGTGAGGTCTTGGGCTTAATCCCCAGGAGCAAAAAGAAAAAGAAAAAAAAATATTGAAAAGCAATGCCTATAATACATTTTTACATTTGTGTTTGGGAAAATATTTTTTTCATTCAACTGACATTTATTGAGTGCAAACTATGTGACAAGCATTTGCCTAGACACACTTGGACTATATATGTAAACAAAAAATTAAAGGAGGACTCTTTGCCTACTATTGGTCTCAGCATTTTATACATTTTTATCTCATTTAGTTTTTTTTAATATGAGTTTGCAGTACATGATTATATTTGCCATCAGAAGTTGGCACATGTACATAACACATTTTAATTCTTTTTCTGTCCTCATTTCCTCCATCCCTTCCTGGCTGCATTCCTTCCCTCTACTCTATCTTTTTTTCCACTATTATCTCTTTTATTTTGTGCTTTATTTATATTTTGTATTTTTCATGTAAAAGAAAACATAGAATATATAAGCTTGTGTGCCTGGTTTATTTCACTTAATATTATGGTCTCAAGTTGCTTCCATTTCCGTCCATGTACATGGATGGCTTCCAAGACTTAACTATTATGAGTCGTCTTCTATATACACGTTTATGCGTGCATCACTGTAATATGATGACTTTAACTCTTTGGAAGATACCAAGGAGAGAAATAGCGGTGTCAAATGGAATTTCTTGTTTTACCTTTTTCAAGAATCTCTACCTTGATTTCCATAATGGTTGTACTAGCTCACATTCCCACCAATATTAAGGAAACCTCCTCCCCCACCTCCCACAGCTTTTCTCTTTGTTTTTGTTATTTTTTATTTTTTGGTCTTTTTGAGGCAGGGTCTCACTATGCAGTTTAGGCTGGCTTTGAGTTCACTTTGTAACCCAAGCTGGTCTCGAACTCACCACAATCCTCCTGCCTCAGCCTCCCCGAGTGCTGGAATTACAGGCACGTGCCACCACACCCGGCTCCCTACTTTGTTTTTATCTGATTTCTTGATGAGAGCCATTCTTCCTGAAGTAAAATGGAATCTAAGTGTTGTTTGAATTTGCATTTATCTAGAGATGTCCACCATTCTTTCATGTATGTCTTGGTCATTTGTATTTCTTTTTCTGAGAAATGTCTGCTCATTTTAGTTTTGAGGGGCTCATTCTATCATATAAAATTATTTAGATATTCTAAAAATTAACATGTTATGAGTATCAGAGTCCTACCTCTTAAAATTATACCTATATCATCAAATTAAATTTTTTTTTTTGGTAGTGGGGATCAAGCTCATGACCTGGTACTCGTCAGGCAGGCACTTATGCCGCTAAATCCCTGGCCCTAAATTAACTTTTCAGTAAATGTAGTTTATTCAAAATTGGTGCTTTCATCTGAAATTAAGGAGAACTGCAGTTTTGTTAAAGGTGAATTAAGTATACATGTGTTACATGAAATATATATATATGTATATATGTGTGTGTGTGTGTGTGTGTGTGTGTGTGTGTGTGTGTGTGTGTAAAATGTTTTGTGCTCAGGCAACTTAAAGGGAGACAACACGCTGGTCAGTCTCAGTGACAACACAAGGAGAGGAGCTGATAGGTTCCACCTTGTTCTCATTCTCCTCCTTGCCATACCCAATTCCACCTGCTAACTGCTAAGCCTGCTCACTAAAAGCACCTCCAAACTCATTTTCAGATTCTTGGCTACAGAACTACAGATTCTTCAGCAGTTTCTCTTTGGCAATCTTATTTGACTGACTGGACGTGCTCAGCATTAGATTAACTGCTTTAGTGACTTCTCTGATTTCTTACCTTCTGCTCTAAATAGTCACTTCTTCAACTCTCCCCAACTGCAAATCTTCCTTCTTTGGGGATTTTTGACTGACATATTGTGAAGAATTCCCAGCTGGCCAAATAGGGAGACCACAGAAAGCAGAACAGAGGCACCGCAAACAATAGCCTCAGCTAAGCCAGGCCTGCAGCCTGCTAGCCACATAAGCAACCCTAGGGAAACTAGCAGAGGAACCTTCACTATAGTTGGGAGAAGCAGCAAATTACTGCTGTTAAAGCCACTAAATTTGAGGGAGCTTTGTTCCTAGTAGGTAACTACACACTTGTGTCAATTTCAAGTCTTTTCTTGGGCTTATCTAATTTAGAATAACACAATAACACAGTCCAAATGATTACATACTTTAAAACAAAATGTTTAAAATGTCTATAAAACTTATCCACATTTTAATATAGCATTTTCCTAAATGTATGATGAAATTATCTTAAACTATATCAAAACTTCTACTAATATAAAGCTCTTTAAATATGAATTATTGCACTATTAATCTCAGAAAAATCTATCACTGAATTCAACAAAATTAATACTTATTCTTTAATGTTCCTTGTGTTTAATAAAAACCATCATAATTACAGGACTGAAATTTATTTCTTTTGGCTTCAACTTAAAAATATTAAATGGAAGTGTGTTAAAAATGCATTAAATGGACATGTAAGGTAGAAGAGGTTTTCTACCTGGCACCTCAGCGCTTGTGTCATTTAATAATCCACTTAACTGGGTTAGGTGTGGCAGAGACACCTACAGTCTCAGCACTGATGGAGGCTGGGGCAGGAGAAACAAGTTTGAGCCTTGTCTTACAAAAAAGGTTTAGGGCATCCGCCTTCCTGTTTTGGCTGTGCTTGGAGAACTGTGGAGTTCTAAGCAAGCAGGTGGGTGAGCGACCACTTTCCCCGGAGCCAGCTTGTTTGGGACCCTCGCACCTTCTGGGTGCACTGGAACAGCTAGCGTGTCTGGGGTGCCAGCATCCGCCTCCCTGTGTGCTTGGAGGACTGTGGAGTTCTAAGCAAGCAGGCGAGCACCACTGGTTCCAGAGGCCCAGCGGCCTGGGGAAACTGGATGCCAGAGTCCCAGGAGCTGAGGGCATAGAAGTGGATTTCCAACAGACCCTGAGGAAGCTTTCGAATAACACATGAAACACTTGAAACACAGAAATATAGGAAAATGACAGAACAAAAGAGCAAATTACAATCTCAAACCTCCAGCTCATCCCAAGAAACCTTAGGAGTGATGTATATAGAAGAAAATATATGCCATACACCTCAAATATCAGACATAATAGCAACTGAAATAAACAATCAACTCCGGGAAGCTTTAAAGGAATTCAAACCAGAAATAATCTCCCAGGAAAAAGAAGAAATGATAAAAGAAATGAAAGAGACGCAGAGTATATCTAAAGAAAGCACAGTTAAAAAAATTGGAGGAACTAAACAAAAAGATAGAATCCCTAGATGAGCAATATAAAAAACAAACAAAATACATAAAGCAGATGCACAGAGATATACCGGAAATTAAAAATTCCACTGAAAGCTGTAAAAGCCACCTCAATGAAAGTGAAGGTAGAATTTCAGACTTTGAAGACAAGATTGCAGCTAGTGAACAGGAAAGATCTTTTAAAAATAACAAAAAATCAGGAAATAAAAATTCAACAACCGCAAAATGATGCAAAGAAAAGCAACATAATATTTATAGGGATTAATGAAAAAGAAGGGGACGACATAAAGGATGTCAAGAGGATACTTAGAGAAGTAATAGCTGAAAATTTCCCAAGGATGAGATTGGAAACTGACATCAGCATATAGAACTCCAAATAGTCATAACCAAAATAAAACTACAACCAGACATATAATAATCACCATCCCAGAAATCCAACACAAGAATAGATTATTAAAAGCTGTCAGAGAGAAAAGACAGATCACTTATAAAGGAAAACCTATCAGAATCACAGCAGACATCTCAACACAAACAATAAAGTCAAGAAGAG